CTGCTCCATGACCTTGCCAGGCACTTCAGGTTCCCCTCCCATACCCACAAGCAGTTGGTCACTGCAAAACTGTGCACAATATTTGTTACTGCAGTAACAGAACCCAACATTTGCATTTCTCAACAGGGGCCTTGTTTTAAACTGTTTGTAGAGTTAACGTGGTAATCTTTCTGAATAATTTGGGGTATTTAAAGCTCCTCAGTACACGTAGCATGATGGTGAAATCAAATCAAGCCACGTATCAGTTAATGAATTTAGTTTTGCTACCCAGCATAAAAAGAGCTATTGCATTAGCTGGTGCACATGTAAGAGTGTAGATACCCATCACTTGATCCCTCTGAATTAAGTGCTGATCTTCTATAATGAAGAGAAACATATAAAGAAATCCTTCTAAATGTCCTTGTATTTTTTAATGATAGTTTTCTTTTCCTGGTGTTTGTGGTTTTTTTTTTTTTTTTTCCCCTATGGCTACCAAATGTGGCTTAAAAGAATACAGTTCTTGACCCCTGAAATAATAAGGGTCATATTCCAGCAGTTGATGTTGTGATGTATATTAATGTTATGTTTCCTCTTATGTTTGCATTGCATTTCTAGTTTCTGTGTATTAATATTCATGTATGTGTGCAAAATAGATGGATGTGTTTGTTACTTGATGTGAGTAACTGGAGAGGGACCCAAAGCTGACATGCTACTATTTACTTACCCTCAAATTAGATTTTGAGACAAGTTATTTCTGTGAAGTCCTTAACAAGAAAAAAGGGGTTTGAAATCTTTAAAGTACTCATTCATACCTTAAATACACAGAAATAATTGTTACAGTTGCTTTGTGGTATTTCTGTTCTGTGTTACAAGATGTTGTGTCATACATTGCAAGATTACTTTCCATTTTTTGAGCTGCTTTTCCTTTCTCTTACTTTTTTTTTCTTAGGGGCCCATTTCTTCATATTATAGTCAGCGTTATGGTTTCAGCCCAGACTGTAAAATAGTAGCATTTACAGGAGACAATCCAGGTGAGATGGTTAAATGTATAGGATTCAGTGAATATGATTTTGTATGTACTAAAATTCTAAATCAATCTCATTGATTCTCAGATGAAAGAATATTGTGTTTATCAGCATTAATCCTTCTTCCAACAGCCTTCCATCACTTTTTCTGAGGTATAGACTTCTTGGGTAAGCTGGGTATGACAAATGAATTCTTTTGCCTAGTAATTAGAAGTGACTTCATTTGCCTTCTGATAACTTCAGTTTTGATTTGCCTGCCTCTAAGAAACTATTCTTACTATGAACTGCTAACATTTTAACCTAGAAAATACAAATGAAAAGATTGCAAGCTTATCTTTTCAAGCAAAAAGGTGGAGAAGGACCTTATAGGCTTTCTCTGAGAATTAGAGCTGTCCTTTTGTCAGTGTAAGGGAAGGTGTTAATGTAGGGTCACTTTTTTGAATCCTGGAGACTGTTTCAGTGTAGAGCAAAGCTGTCTGTTTCTCAAGACTGTGAGAATAAAATTCTTATCTGTACTACAGTAGCACATGCAGGTTTGAATCAAGATGGAGGCTTCATCATGGTATATTTTACGTTCATATTCTGGGAGATGGTTAAAGTCTGCATTTCCCAAAAGTCCAATTTTTCTTCTAGAGATTTGAATCCAGCTTAGTCTAATAAATGTGTTTGTAGTCTGATGTCATGAGGAGTGTTTCTCCTTGAAAGTGTGGTGTTAAGTAAGAGTCAGTGGTATTTAAAACCTGAATACATAAAACATTGGAGAATCATGCAGTTCCATAGTGTTTTGTCTTGAGCATTTTCATTTTGTTAAAAATCACTCCCTCACCCAAATGCTTTGCCCATCTTTTACAGTGTATAGGCCAAGGACATCATGAGCATATTTGCTATTTATATTGTACTTTGAGATGGTGAATGTGATGTGTTATGATGTCTCATGCAACATGCTATACTTGAGTCAATGAGTAACTTTTTGTCTGGTATTCTGGCTCTTTGTTTTCAGCATCATTGGCAGGGATGAGACTTCAAGAAGGAGATATTGCAGTAAGTCAAAATATACTCCCAGAAACTGTCTATATTCCCAACTAAATGAAATACATGAAACGTAAAATCATAGAATCATAGAATGGTTTGGGTTAGAAGGGACCTTACAGATCATCTAGTTCCAACCCCCCTGCCATGGGCAGGGACACCTTCCACTAGCCCAGGTTGCTCCAAGCCTCATCCAGCCTGGCCTTGAAGACATCCAGGGATGGAGCATCCACAGCTTGTCTGAGTGATGTGTTCCAGTGCTTCACCAGTGCTGTAGCTTCTGGGGCTTTTACGGATTCCTAATCTGTGTGTAAACATAAATTCACACACATGCACACCTGACACTTCTGAGTATCAGTATTTAAATTGCCTATGTTGCAAGCAGCTGTAATTTTTCAAAATGTAAGTATCAAGCCAATGGAAGACACTATCCTATGTATCACTGAAGGTAAGTATGAATGAGTGTGCATACAAAATGCAAAATAAATCTATATAGCTTAGATGGTGACACAAGCAGTTAACAGCATAGTTCACCATTCTCACCGTTTAGCTGTAGGTTTTCAGTTAAATGTTTCTGCTAGTGTTGATTTTCTGTATGTTGGATTCACGCTTCTTTTATTTCTATCAATCTGAAAGCTGCCTGAAAGATTTTAAGTAAACTCTTGTGACTGTTTTTAATTAATGCTCCAGACATTATAACCTAAGTCTTCATCTAGTATGTATTTCACTGGCGTGACAGCCTAAGTCAGAGCTAGCTTCAACATGAATCCAATTGACTTAATATGTAATTTAAAAACAATTAGTGGTAATAACAAATGGTTTTAATTTAATTTCTGTATTGCTTTCCAAGCACATTGTGATAACCCTTCAATTATTTTTTTTTTTTTTTCCCCCTCCAGATTAGCCTTGGCACAAGTGACACATTGTTTCTGTGGATCCAGGAGCCAACTCCTGCCTTAGAAGGCCATATCTTCTCCAATCCTGTTGATTCTCAAGCATATATGGCACTTTTATGGTAATATAATTTATTTTTTGTACATCTGGGATTGATAACATATATTTCTTTCTGTTAGTGTGGTTTTTTTTTATTCTTTAGCAAAATGATAATGGATAGAACATTCAGCATTCTGTATGGTATATGGCATTCTATTGCTGAAACATTTGCATCAACATTATAGCATTCCTATTGTTTAATTTGGGTAACGAAACTGCAGAGTTGTGGAGGATAAATTCTCATGGTAATAAAAAGCTGAAATTATTTTTACATATATATAGAACCAGTTCACCGTGAATCTAAGGTAATACGTTTAATGTACAGGAATAACAGTCTTCTGAAATATAAGAATGTGAAATGTCAGAAGCTTGACCAGACTGTATAACTTGTGTGCTCTTCTAGTGCTCCAGAGGGGGCATAATGGGGCAGGTGAAGATTCCCTTTGTATAGAGGACTATGATCAGTGCTGTTCAGGGATGTATTAGGCTGTGCATGTGGAAAATCCTGAGATCTCAAGAAGCCCAGCTGAGAAAATGATCCTCATGGTAGCTTTTGGCTGGTGTGATTTGGGACTTGTTTGGCCCCTCGCCAGCGAAGTAGGTGGGAAGATGGCCTGAAGCTACTTTTTCCCTCAGTGAGCCACTGTATTCAGAGCAAAAAATTCCCTAACAGGTCACAGTATTTAGGCAAATGTTTACAAGTAATATGCAGATAAATGTTGTGTCTATGTCCCCTGCATGGCAAGTGCCTGTAGGTCAAAACTTCAGCAAGGTTCAAATCTGCCCTTTAACCATAATGTTGTCTTACCTGTACAGTAATAGGATGCTGCAGATGACAATGGGAACAGAGTTTGTGAAGTTGAGTTCCAAAGCATGATGTCAACTGCAAGTTTGAGTTTCATAGTGTGATTTCCCAGCAGTTGTTGGGGCTTTTTTTTTTTTTTAAGTTTTGCATTCAAGTTTCTCATTTTCCCCAATATTTTTCCCACTGTTGCTGTGTAACAGCCCTATATAAAGAAACTGTTTGCAGTAGAAAAGGAGACACTCAGGCATTTTTCTGAATAACTGTTATACTCTCAGTCTTTTACTGCAGCTTAATATCTGCAGAAAGCCAAATCTGCTTTTAAGAACACAAGATATTTCTGTAGCCATACAGATGTAAAGAGATCTTGTTGCCTCTGCCTAGGCATTTCTGCCCTGACATTGCCCCTTTTGCACTAATGACCCTTTTTTATTAAAATAATGTAGTTAATAGGGGACTTAACCTGGATTAGTAGAAAAAGAATGGCAGAGCTCCCGGGCAGATACGTGTACAGAAAATTTGAGTAACGTCAGCTGCTGCTACTGAGCAAGTTCAATAATTTCCTTGCCCTCTTTCTGGATATTTCTGTGACTTTCCTGCT